GCCCCCGCCGCGGCGAAGCTGGCGCGTCGGGCGCGGGGGGGAGAAAGCCCCGGGCCGGGGGCGCAGGGTCCGGAGACATAAGGGCTGCCCGAAGCCCAAGCACTACCGGCTTCATGGTTTGCCGGGCAGCCTCCAGACCCTGCGCCCCCGGCTGGGCGCTTCCCCTCCCGGGCTCCAGCTGCGCTGGGGAAGCGCCGGCTGGGGGCGCAGGGTCTGGGGGCTGCCCGGCAAACCGTAAAGCCGGTAGCGCTCGGGCAGCCCTTTTCATGTGGCTGGGAGGGAGGAGGGGGAGTTAGGGCAGGGCTGGGGGTGAGAAAGGGGCGGGGCCGAGGCCCGTGGAGTGTCCTCTTTTTTTATTTTTTAAATATGGTAACCCTAACCATAGGCAAGGGTCCTGGCCACCAGGCTATACAGAGCTGCTTGCAGCTTGCATTTGCTTTGGACCATTTCATAGTTAATTAAAATGGAACTACGCCAAAAGGGAAGGAACTTGCAGCTCCTATCACAGCTCAAGGGGAGACAGGGGAGTCAAACCAGCATCACCAGGCCCCCACAGGAGGTTTGTAACCACCAGCCTACAAACCACTTCTTCTGTATGGCTCTTCTTTTGGCCCAATTAAGAGTTGATTAAAGTGGAACAGCATCAGGCAGAGAGAAAAAGCACAAATCCCCTCTTTGTCACAAGCAGAGCCACGTGCAAACCAGCCCCCGGCGAGCAGCCTAACCACCGGGCTAGGGCAGGGCTTCACCCAGAGCCACTCTGCTTTGGCCCCATTAATAGCTGATTAAAGTGGAACAGCTTCAAGAGTAAAGAGTGAGGGAAGCTCCCTCTTCAAACTCCTGCTCCTCTACAGGCAGGCAGAGAAAGGAATCGAATGAGGTTCTTCACTATCCCAGAATGAACCCTATGCTTTGAGCTACACAGGGCTTCCCACTTTCACTTGTTGTTTTGCCCCAATAAATAGTTAATTAAAGTGGAACAGCTTAACGAGAAAAGCCTAGTGGTGCCCCACAGCGGAATAACTTATACACCAGCAGTTAGGACACTCACTTTGGAGATAGGCGCTCACTGCTCAAACCCCTTTTCATTAGCAGCAGGGGGCGTGAGCCAGGCTCCCCAGCAGCCTGGGGGAGTCCTCAGAACAATGGGCTATAGTGTGTGACCCTAACTCAGACTTAGGGGTGCTGCTGTTGGCCCAATGATATAGAAACATTGATCTCACCACACCTAAGGCCTTTTGTCAATATAGGCACAGGGGAGCTGAAACTGGGACTACTTGGTCCATATTACAGCAAACAGCACCGGGACTGTAAGGAACCCGAGAATGGACATGACCCAGGCATATAGCCCTGAGACCAAAGCAGAGGAGTTGCTCAAGTCACACCACAGACACAGTGCTAAAATGTGGAGAGCAGGCATGCTTTGTGATTGCCACAAGCATTTAGCTCAGGGTGGGCAACGCAGCACAGACACCATCAGGGCAGGTCCCTCACCTCACACCCAAGACTAGGCTGGGGAGTTGAGAACAAGCAGGCTCAATGCATCACAGAGCCCCGAGACTGGGGGTTTGGGTGTCCAAATAGGCGTGGGTGGGGCTGGGAAGTGGGAGGTCTCCTGGGAGGTGGGAGAGCCTTGGCACAACCTCTTGCAGAGGAGGGGTTGGGCCTGGGGTCTCCCACCGCCTGGGCAGGTAGCCTAGCTGCGGGGGGGACAAAAGAGTGGCTTGCTTTTTAAACAACCGCCCCCCCAAATATTTAAGTAAAAGGCCCCAGAGGCAGCCAATACATGTTGTAAACCCCTTCCCCATGACAGGGATTGAACCAAGGCCTGTAGCATCCCAGGGGAGTGCCCAAACCTCTAGACCAGAGAAGGCAGCTCTTTCAAATAGTTTGCTTTGGAGCAATTCATAGTTAATTACAGCTGCACCAGGAAAGGTTGAGGGCACTCCCATCTCAAAGGCCTGCCCCTCACCAAGCAGGGCGGGGAGGAACTGAACCAGGATCACCAGCACCCCAAGAACAAACACTAATCTTTGTGTTACAGACAGCTGCTTGGTAGTAGGCCTTGGTTTGGCCCAGTTCACAGTTAATTAAAATGGAACAGCTGCAAGAGGAAAGGCATTCCCTCTTCAAAGAGGGCCTGTCCCACCCTAGGCAGAGGGAAGCTTTAAATCAGGGTCTTCAACATCCCAGGGAAAATCCCCATCCCTTGTGCTAGAGGGCTTCTCATAAGTGTACCTTGCTTTGGCTCAATTAATGGTTAATTAAAGTGGAACAGCTTCAACAGGAAAGACAGAGGGGGAGGCCCATGTCAAAATACCTCATAGCCCAGCAGTTGGGACCACCACTTGAGACGTACCTGGGTGCTATACCAATTCCTTTTCATCAAGCAACAGGGGCTTTGAATCAGTGTCTCCCCCTGCCTTGGTGAGCCCCCAAACCATGGACGATAGAGTGATTCTCAGGCTGTCCGTGGCCCAATTAAGAGTTAATTAAAGTGGAACAGTTTCAACAAGAGATGATGAGCCACCCCACATCAAAATATCCTTAGCTCAGGGGATTAGGGCACTCACTTGAGATGACAGATCCCTGTTCATCTCCCTTCTTATAGGATGTGGGTGTGGGGATTAAACCATCATCTACTACAGCCCACGTGAGGCCCCTAACCACTGGGGCTAAAGGTTATGAGGGAAAGCTTGTTCCCCTCTCAGGACACTCATCTGGGAGATGGCAGATCCCTGTTCCCAATTCCTTCTGTGCATTGGGCAGAGGGAGGAAACTGCCACCACTATCCTGGGTGCACACCTCAACCTAACGGCTATAAGGGAGGCTATCTACCCCCTTGTGTGGAGTCAGGCCGATGCTGAGCCTGCCTCCCAGCTCCAGTCCTGCAGGGAAGATAGGCAGGGCAATGACTGTTGGCTCCTGGTTTGAGAATTGGGCTGGGGGTCAGGCATGATATAGGCAGCGGGTGCCCAGAGTAGGGCAGAGGATATGTGCTCAGAGGCAGACACATAGGCAGGGAGAGAACGGTTAGAGCAAAAACCTAGGCACCAAGTGAATTCAGGTGCGTCCAGGGTCAGGCGGCAGCCAAGCAGGGGTTTTGTGGATCACAGCGGTGCCTAAACCTGGGACTTAGGCTCCACCCGCCCTTTGAGGATCTGGCTGTG